TTATGCCTTGAAGGCAAGATAGCAGGAACACCAAGTAGCTGGTTACACAGTGTCCACCATTAGCAGGGAGGGATGGATGCTGGAGTCAGCTGGCTCTCTACTCAGACAGACGATAAGTGCTTTTAACAGAGAACCGTCTCCCAGACACATCCTGCTTTTTATTAAACTTGGGTTGTCAGGCTTGGGTCCCCAATGCCCTTATCCACAAAGAGCCATCTCCGTGGTCCTTTTCCCTAACTTACTATGCTGCCTCAGCTACCACAATTACTGACAGACACTGAGGTAATATAAAAAGCACACTATAGAACCCTAATATTTATTAAGTTATTAACTATAAGTTTATTAACTATAGAGTGCTTAAGAAAAGACCAGGAAGAGAGAGGATGTCTTAGAAGCACCAATGGGTTAGAGAGTAAGAGAGAAAGAGAGAGAAAGAGTAGAGTAAGTTGTCAATTTCTGTGCTCCTCCACTATGACCCACCCAGTGGTGGGTCATCACTGTGTGTTTTCATCAGGACCCATCTCATTTGAGTTAATAAATGCCATAGTACTAAAGCAGGCTTACACAATTTATAGCATCTTCTCTTAAATGAGAGTGGATTCAAGCCACTTCTATGTAATTCTTGCTTGCTTATACTCCAATATGCTTTGCTGAAATGGGCTGGAGTTAAAACTGATAGGTCAGTAGCTGGGTGTTAGCCAGAGGCTAACGTATCTTTGCCTCCAAGCTGGAAGACTGTTGAGCTGTGTAGCACACTCCATCACGATTGAAGGCAGGGAAATAAAAAAAAAACTCTCTCAATAGACTGTCATACTGTTCACGTTCTTCAACTGTAGGGACCATGACTTTTCATAGCATTGAAAAATGTCAGTTTTCACAGTGGCTGGAATTCAAAAGTGCTTAAAGAAAGCAAAGGCTTGGAGATGGACCAGTGAGAGAACAAATGAAAAGAAAGTAGATGAAGGTGTTAGTAACGTTTCTTAAGCCAGAAAGGAAAGAGAGGAAGCAAGGAGTTACAGAAGGCTTGTTCTTTACTATTTCAGACACTTAGTTGAATGCAAGTTTTAACTCAAAATAAGAGAAACTAAACCAAACCAAACAAAATAAAACACAACACTACACACACACACACACACACACACACACACACACACATACACACACACACACACCCCACAGAAAACCCTAACAACAAAGTCCCTCCAAACAAAACCTTCAACCCCCGAGCCTGTAAAGCGGCTGAAGCCTGTGCTGTGGTCAGTAGATAAGACAATCCTCAGTTCCTGCCCAACGGTTTGACTTACTATTTCAGGCTTTCTGCACAGTTACAAAATGTAGGCTTTATTGAAGACATAAAAAAAAAAAGTAGGGGCTGGAGAGGTGGCTCAGGGGTTAAGAGTACCAGATGCTCTTCCAGAGAGCTTATGTTCAATCTGCAACACCTTCATGGCAGCTCACAACTGTCTGTAACTCCAGTTCCAGAGTACCTGGTACCCTGGTATAGACATACATGCAGGCAAAACACCAACGCACATAAAAATAAATCTTAGAAACTCAAACTAAGAATGAACATAAAATTAGATTAAAATAAAAAATAATAAATGAAAATAAAAATAAAACATAAGACTGTGTTTCATCAATAAAAGCAATAGTCCTGCATGCTGATAAGAGCCTGATATAGCTGTCTCCTTAGAGGTCTGCAAGAGTCTGACATATTCAGAGGCATAGATGCTCACAGCTAGCCATTGAACTGATCATGGGGTTCCCAATGGAGGAGTTAGAGTAAAGACTGTAGGAGCTGAAAGGGTTTGCAGTCCCATGAGGAGAGCAACAATACCAACCAACCAGAGCTCCCAGGGTCTAAACCACCAGCCTGGGAGCACTTAGGGAGGGACCCATGGCTCCAGCTGTATATGTAAGGGAGGATGGCCCTGTTGGGCATAGGTGGGAGAAGATATCCTTAGTCTCATAAAGGTTGGACACCCCAGTGGGTGGGAATTTGAGGGTGGGGAGGTGGGAGTGGGGGGTGAGTGGGGGCACATCTGCAGAGAAGTGTGAGGAGGGGTGATGGCATAGGGGGGGTCCCTGGGTGGGGGGGGATGGGGTAAGGGGATAACATATGAAATGTAAATAAAACATCCAGTAAAAAAAAAAAGCAATAGTCCAAAAGTGAAAATAATACGAGGATACATTTATTAATTTATTTTAAATTAAGTATCATTTACTTAAACAGGTTTAACAACAAAACATTGCTGAATTAAAAATTTTAAAATGTATGATTTATTAGATTCATTTCTAACTGACACTATGGAAAGGCAGATCAAAGTGTTAAATTGACATAGGATATGTTTTGAGGGAAAGTGAAAGATGTGTGATAAACACTTGTTTTTATACTTTCTCAGAGTATTTTATTTTGGTCCTAGGGTTTTTGAGACTTTGTACTCTATGTGTTAAGTATAATTGTATCAGATAATAACATTTTCCAAACAACCAAACCAAACCAAACCTAAAACCAAAACCCAAACTCCCCACTTGTCTGAATTACCTTTTGATTTAGAAGATTGCTTTTCCTTTGATACAGTCTCAGTCCTTCTAGCCTGAGCTCTCCATGTAGTCTCAGAACTCACAGAGATAAACCTGCCTCTGTCCAGGAGAGCTGGCGCTAAACAAGTGTTCCTCTGTGCTTTGATGCTGTGGTAGAGTCTCAAGTCTTCACAGTTTCAGGAAAAACTGGAAAGTGGTTTTACCAATTTTTTTTTTGTTTTTTTTTTTTGTTTTTTTGTTTTTTGGTTTTTCGAGACAGGGTTTCTCTGTATAGCCCTGGCTGTCCTGGAACTCACTCTGTAGACCAGGCTGGCCTCGAACTCAGAAATCCACCTGCCTCTGCCTCCTAAGTGCTGGGATTAAAGGCGTGCGCCACCACTGCCCGGCCGGAAAGTGGTTTTACAAAACTCAGTTTCTCTTTTGCTCCTTGGCAACATCCTGTGGATGTAACTGGACTATTTTATGATTATTTTCTTTTCCCTTTTTAAAGCATTTACTCAATGTGTGCGTATGTGTATTGTAGGTATGCATGGAGGTCAGAGGATAACTTCTGGGAGTTCATTTTCACCTTCAGGCATGTGGGTTCAGGTCTTCAGGCTTGATAGTGTGTGCCTGTAACTACTGAGCCATCTATCCTGCCTTAGTTCGCGTTAGTTTCGAGAATCTCATGTAGTTCAAATCAGCTTTACTGTCCCTAGGTAGCAGAGGATGACCTTGGACATCTGATCTCCCTGGTGATAATCTCCAGACTGATGGGATTGCAGGCATGGCTATCATGCTCACTTTTATATGCTACTGGGGATGAAGCCCAGGGGTTAACCCATGCCAGGCCAGCACTCTACCAAACGAGCTACATTCTGAGACCACTTATTTCTTGTAGATTAAAATAAACAGTAGAGCCGGGCAGTGGTGGCGCACGCCTTTAATCCCAGCACTTGGGAAACAGAGGCAGGCAGATTTCTGGGTTCAAGGCCAGCCTGGTCTACAGAGTGAGTTCCAGGACAACCAGAGATACACAGAGATATCCTGTCTCGAAAAATCAAACCAAACCAAACCAAACCAAACCAAACCAAACCAAACCAAACCAAACCAAACCAAACCAAACCAAACCAAACCAAACCCCAGTAGGACCTTTCTGGTCTAAATCTTATCCACGATGCAAATGTGAAGTAACTTAAAATGCCAGATCATTGGTTGGGAGAATTTAAAGGGTTTCCCCCTACTTAAGAGAATCGAGAACTATTTCTGCCTTATAGTAATCCTTGTAAAATAGGGAGTTGATTAACTAAGACTGCTCCCAGTGACTGTTCTACTGCTTATAAGAAACAGTGGTTTCTCAACCCGTGGGTCGCAACCTGCTATGGCATCAAACCCCTCCCCCCTTTAGATCGTCAGAAAACACAGATATTTACATTGCGATTCATAAAAGTAGCAAAATAAAGTTATGAAGTAGCGTTGAAAATAATTTTATGGTGGTAGAGGAGTCACCACAACATGAGGAACTGTATTAAGGGTCATAGCATTAAGAAGGTTGAGAACCACGGCTCTAAGCTTAAAGTGGATTTCTTTCCCCTGAAAAGCTTACCGTGAACAGTGTTTAATGTTACATTGCTTTGATGTCATAAACCAGAAGATGGGAAAACTAGGAGAGTTGGTAATTTTCATCCCAAAGAAAAATGACATTTCTAGTCTCTTTAAACAAACAAACAAACAAACAAACAAACAAACAAAAAACTCTGTCATGAAGACTGACCTTTTTCTCCATTGACATTGATAGAAATTCAAACTGCAAAACCGAAGGATGGCGTATATAGTTTTTTATAACGCACTTGATTTTGTCTATTGTTAGAACCGAGTAACAGATTCACTTCAAAATCCTATTACAAATAAACATACTTCTTTTGGTGACACGTTATGGCTCCATTTATACAAACAACACACTTTTTTTTAGTGGACTGAAAATGTACATTTTATCGAAAATGTAAAAATATTAATTTCTAAACACCATCCATAAATTCGGGATAACACCCCCTTCCGGAATACACATAACTCACACACATTCCACAGGGGAAATTTGAGGGTGGCAACTATCCTAGGAAGACCCTCCAGGCTGCTTGAGCTGTGCGGTGTCCCATAGTTATTTACTGGCTCAGAGTTGTTTTGTTTAAAGCAGTGGGAAGTGTTAAAAGTCCAAGTGAAAACATCCTTGGCTCCCAGATGACAGAGATGAGATGGAAATCAAGATTACAAGTCAGTGGTAGGGCGGTGTCCCCTGTCTTGTTTCAAAGCACGCCGCGCTATCCCTGGGCAACTTATATACATCGTCCTCCTGGGAATTACAGGGGTGGCTGTATCCTCAATCGTAGCCCCTCGGGTGGCAACCAGGAGGGGACTGCGGCCGGCTCCGCTGCAGGGGAAGCCCTCCCGCGCGCAGGTGGGCGGGCGCGCGCAGAGGGATGCGGGGCGCCGAGGCGAGTACCGGCGCCGCTCCTGCGGTCCCGCCGCCCAGCCCGCCAGGGGTAGCGAGTGCGCTCGGCGGCCGGCTGCGGGGACTGCGGGGCCTGCGCGGGCGGCGGCTGGCGACTGCGCCCCACCGCGGCGCACCCGCGTCCCC